GAGTGAGGGGGGCTTGCTTTGGGTCAGGGCTCCTCTTGCATGAAGCCATTTCCAGGACGGGCCTTCCCAGGGTTTATCCCACAGCCAGTGGCAGAGAACCTCAGTGCCTAAGTCAGCAGACTTAGGCTCACACTCCAGCAATAAAGACAACTGTGTAGATGTTGGAGCACAAGCTAGAGTTCAGGCTCTGAAGCCCACCTGCATAACTATTTTTAGTAGCTAATGCTACATCTACACTGTAGCCTTCTTGCAGAAAAGCTTATGCAAATGAAGTGCAGAGTGGAATATCACCGTGCTTCATTTGCATAATTAATTAGCAGCCGCTTTTGCACAAGAGGCTTTTGCGCAGAAAGGAGCTGTGTAGATGGCTCCTTTTTGCGCAAAAGCCCCTCTTGCGCAAGAGCCGTTCTTTCTGAAAAAATGAGGAAGAATGGCTCTTGCATAAGAGGGGCTTTTTGAACAAAAAGGAGCCGTCTACATAATTCTGTTTTGCGCAAAAGCCTCTTGCACAAAAGCAGCTGCTAATTAATTATGCAAATGAAGCGTGGCGATATTCCACTCCGCCCTTCATTGGCATAAGCTTTTCTACAAGAAGGCTACAGTGTAGACATAGTAGCCCTTGTGCTTGTCTTTACTATGCCGTGGATCGATGCTGCAGCAATCAGTCCACCGGTGTTCAATTTATTGTGTTTGCTTACACATGATAAATCGATCTCTGAATGCTCTCCCCTTGACTACGGAGTAAACCTTGTTCTATGAGGAAGAAGGGATGTTCTGAAAGACTTTTTTCCCAACATTTGGCCCCGTGTAGACAGGTCAAATGTCGGAAAAGCCTCTTTTGGAAGAAAAGCAGAAAAAGATACACAAATTGTGGTTCGCAATTTGTGTATTTTTTTTTTTTACTTTTCTTTGTAGTGTAGACATAGCCTGTGTGACAGTCTGCTCCCAGTGAAAATCTGGTGTCATGGAAATTTTAACACTAGCACCCCTCCCCCACTGCTTCTCTCTCAGTGCTTCAGCCATGAGCTTGGTAATATTTTTGAAATGATCCTGGAAACAAAGAATGTTGTGAAATAATGGCTGACAAAGAATGTTGTGAAAGAATGCAGACAAAGGAAACAAAAATATCAATGAAGAGGAACCTAGTGACCTAGAGGAACCCAAGGCTCTACTGGTGCCTGGTGATTCGGACCCCGAGGCCTGCCTGAACCCTGGGACCTGGTGAACCAGCTGGATGCAGCCGTCTGAGCTAATTCCCAAGTCCAACGGCGGTGGCGCTGTGGGGTGAGTGAACCCCATTACAATGCCTAAATGAATAATATGAACTTTTTACTTCGAACCTTTTCCTAACAAATTTACGTAATATTTGAAGATGAAAGTCGGCAGTGGTCGCGTACTGTTATTGTAGTGTCGTCACATAGGCCTGATTGATTCGCACTGCTATTGTAGTGTGCTGATCTCTAGAAGTTAATAAGAAATTAATGTTTATAATTTTAATTCATAATATTAATTATGAAGAAATCTAAACTTTAGAATTTTATCCAGTGAGAAGGCAATTGCGATAAGTTTTCTGGGAGGCACCTCACACCTCTCCTGGGGAGGCACACCTCACTGGTTAAGAACCTCTGGGTTAGATTGACAAGTGTGCAGGTTAGTGTAGACAAGACCCTAGTGCAAGCTTGAGTCTATCAACCCAGGCTCAGAGACTTACTGCTACAGGCTGCCAAACTTGCTGTGTAGGTGCACCCCAATTGTCCACAGTTCAGATAAGCTCTTCTACTAACCCTGCCTTGAATGAGTCTGACAAGCGTTAAGTGAAATACAGTATGTTTTAAATTAAAATACCTGATTTTTTAAAATATGTTTAATGCTTGCAGGATAAAGACAAAGATACCAAACTTCAAAGCCACTGGGGTGGGTGGAGAGGGGTATTGTTTCACATTCACTCTGAATTTTGGTTTAGCCTTATGGATATATTGCGCCAATGGGAGCAAGGAGCAAGCATGTCTGCTTTAAATAGAGTGTGCTGCTTTGTACTGTTCTCTACAGCTGGTACCCACCATTTCATGCAGCTTATTTGCACGTGTCAGACTGCTGCCCGTCTGTGAGTATGTCAAGATGTGCTGTTTCAGACTGAATCAAGACACTCTAAAGCTTGTTTGGCAAATTTCTTGTGGAAACTAATATGTATAGATTTGCAATCAGTCTGTGGGAATTGCATAGCTGTTGGGAACTGCTGTTTGGCAAAATTAATAAATTCATTTCAGCACCATGAGCCACGTACAAAGTTATTCTGTACAAAAAAAGTCACCCTGCCAAGGGACGTGGAGGAAGGTTCTCTCTTCCCATTATCTTTGTGCATAGTAACGCAAAGAAAAATAAGTGCAAAAGTAGAGATCTTCTCCTGTGTATACTATCACTGCATGCACTTGTCCCATACTGGAGAAAGCAATACCCGCTTCAGATACTGGATAAGATTGTTAGTTGAACCTATGCTGTCTTAGATTAAAACAGTTCCTTATTGACAGGGCAGAAACATCAAGGACTCATTTAACTGGAGGATTAGTGCAATGAATTTAATTTTGTTGGTAGGAGAGCCATAGGTGTCGGTATCGTCATCCATGGTTTTAAATGTCTATGTTGTGCTGATGTATCTATGTGAATGTGCCCAGTGTCATGCACCACAGTGTTGTTGTTCAATACATGGAGGTCAAAGTTGCCCTCAACTTAAGCCTTTGATAGTCAACATCCACATTCCTTACACATGGAAAGTGCACGTGCTGAAATACAGAGAGCCTAGGCACCTAATCTAAAGCAGAGGCCTAGTTTTGAGAAGCACCACCACTCACCTTAGTGAAACAGTAATAAGGCAACATTTTAATAAATACATCTTTAAAAATCCTTATAAAAATATTTGTTACACAATATTACAGCTTCCGGTACAGATGAGAATAGGCAAGTATACGCCATATTTGTGTTTAATGCACAATGATGTTAATACTGTAGCAGAATCCTACTAATGAATAGCCTCATATTAGCCTTTCTGTAAGAAATGATGCAATGCCTATATTAACACCTATCTAAATTTAACTTTTACATTGATTTGTTCCAGTACAGTTAACTACTATAATTAGAATTCCGTGACAATGTGTCACACACACAGACAAATTATTTACTTAGGGTTTGGAACAGGCAAGAAAAAAAGACAAGAGGGGATTGTGTTTCAGAAGCTGCCTGGTGCTGCTTCAGGCTACAGCTAAAAAGCTATTCTTCCAGGAGATAACACAGAACTTCATTCTGTCCCTTCTCTATTCAGTCATACCCAGAACCAGATCCACTGTCAAAATTCAAAAGTTCCTGAGCCATTTGTGTGTGGGGAGAGGGAGGGGATTAGAAGGGGCCAGTCTGTCTGCCTGCTTATCCATCCATTCCATAATTACCTCCTTTTTAATCACCAGTAAGGTACCATGTCAACAACTACCCCTTCCCCCAACAGTGGTCCATGCAATCTTTTTACATGACATCATTAAAGTAATATTTAGGTGGTGGTGATGAGGCTACTAGTTAACTTTGCAAAGAAAGGCACTTTCCAGAAATAGGCAGTACATGGGCAGAACTACAGCCCTGAACTGGATTTAACTTTACCTGCATTGTTTGCAGTCTGGGAAGCTGCAGAGTTTAGACAAACAAAACTTTCATTTCATATCCATATTTGAAGTCATAACACTATTGCTTTCCCCCAGCTCATGCTGTCAAATCTAGCCATCTTCCTAAAATCTACCCTTCTGTGCTCCACCTTGGAGTTGCCTCCCTCAGATCAGTACTCCCTCTGCTAATTAGGGAGAGGGGCACAGGGTATCTGGGTCTGTGTGAGGAGTCAAAAAGCCAGAATCTTGATCCTTTCCTAGTCCACTGGGGAGAGTTTCCTCCCTCCCCCCTCCTCCTGTAGCCTGCTGTGCCCCATCCTGGCTATTGCTTGCAGAATCAGTTCTGTTCGTCAACTAAGCAGCCACTGCTCCCCTGGAAAGAGGAGGTGCCTGCCAGAGTGTAGAAGCTCTGGGCAGATTTCAGGCACTCACACTCTCTTGGGCTCCTGAAAATCAAGAGATTAAGGCCACTATGTGGGACCTGAGGACTGGAGTCCTGAAATGGTGAGTCTCCCAAGAGAAACAACACATGTGAATTAAAAGACTGATCAAAGCGCCCTTAACCTGGCCATTTTTATTGTATATCCTCAAGCCAATTGATGAGTGAACTTTCAAAGAAAAGTCTGATTTTTTTAGGTGAGGTAATTAAAGTGACCTGCTTGAGCTCACCACCCTCCCAGCCATCTCGACTGGCAGGAGGAAGAAAGTCCTTGGCACCTGTGGCAAACTGAGTTACCTTGGGGATCAATCTGCACTTCCACACTGTAGCTCTCCATGGCTCTCACTGAATAATTGGGTTAAAATTGCAGTATGGAGCATGTCAATGAAGGAGGACTTGTGGCAACTGTCTTCAGAGCCGTTCAAAAGCAACTGATGAGTACGAGCAGTACCAAGTGTTGTCTTTTTAGTATTTTTACATTAAAGCTTCTTGAGCCAGTTGAAGAAGGGTACTTTGGGAGAGAGGAAATGAATGACCATGTCTAGAAATTCTGTCTAACAAGTGGCAGGTGGGCTCCTGGCTAGCAGCAGCAATAAGCAATATTTAAATATACTGTACAAAAGCATCCCATTTTGAGACATGATGGTCCAGCCGTGTCCTGAAACACCTACTTATTGACACATACATTCATCCCATTTTTGATTTCTGACCTTGGGAGAGAAGCACTTTTGAAAAGCTTTGCCTTAGCTGTATGGCAATGCTGCTAGGCAGTCCAGCCCAGGTAGTCCTGTTCCAGCTCATTCCCTTCTCACAGATACACCCACTAGCAAACCTGAGAGAAGTGTATTATGTGCAATGGTGTCCACAGCGTCTATCTCCTGCCTATATATACACATTTGACCAATAGATCCATGTAAATATGAGCCCCTTTATGGTAATATTGAAGGAGCAGCCATTTTGCAGCCGTGTGGGGATAAGTAGGAAATAGACAACAAAGTAACTTACAATCAGATTATGAAGTCATGCCAATAACCATACAATATATAGTAGCTTATTTTCAGATAACTAATTGAAAACTCATGTAAATATAATTAGAGCTCTCTGGGGAAGACTAACAAATATTTAAAAGGTAACAGAAAAATATTTGTGGGCATATTTAATACCTGGAATACTGTTTGAGATGACATCTCTTGATTATGAGATATGAATGAGAATTACATAGTGAATGCTACTAAACATTTAAATCTCATAATGCTAATTTTAAAAATTCCTTCAGTAAAGTATCTAACAATAATGTAAAAGCCTGGGCCAACAATGACTAGGCTAGTTCAGAGAATGAATAATTAAAGTATTTCTTTTCCAGTTTAAAAATATCAAATCAGGTCAGCCATTGCAGCATTTGATTGTTAAAATATAATTTCTATGCATTTAACAAAACCTTCTGTTTCATAAATTATCTTATCTTCACTCTTCCTGTGTTGTACTGCACCAGAGATCTGTTATGGGAATCTTCTCATCTCACGTGTGTTCTTAGTGGAGGATTTTTAGGTGTATCTGTAAGATACATAGGATACCATCTTTTATAGGATGCCTATTGTTTCTATACATGTTTAGAGTACATTGTACAATGCCCCTACATGGAAATTGGGAACAGTCTATGAAAAGATGTGAGAAGGGAGATTTGGGGATAGGGAGTTGGTCTAACATGAGGTGGGCAATAATTTTTCATGGGGGGGGGGGAGGCTGACCACTCCAAGATTTTGGAAAATGGTTGAGGGCCACACTCTTCCATGATATTAATGGTGGAGGTGAGGCGTCTAGGATCTTCCCGCCTGTCTACACTGGCCGCGAGTATTTGTGCAAGAACACCGACGTTCTACTGTATGAAATCAGTGCTTCTTGCATAAATACACTCCTGCTCAGGGATAAGTCCTCTTGCGCAAGTGTTCTTGCGCAAGAGGCCAGTGTAGAAAGGTAACATCAATTTCTTGTGCAAGAAAGCCCGATGGCTAAAATGGCCATCGGCGTTTTCTTGCGCAAGAGAGCCTCTACACTGGCACGGATGCTTTTGCGCAAAAGCAAATCTTTTGCACAAAGGCACATGCCAGTATAGACGCTCTCTTACGCTAATACTTTTAACGCAAAAACTCTTGTGTTAAAAGTATTTGCGCAAAATCATGCCAGTGTAGACGTAGCCATAGGGTTTATATAAACAGTAGCCTAGGTTAGAATAGGAACATGTGTGATTTTATTTACCTATTTTTAAATGCCTATTTTCAAAGCTGAGTGGGTGAAGTAGTGCTCTCCAAATAGATCTGATTTTCAAAGGTTGAGCACATGCTTTCTCCAGCTTACTGATGCTTTTGAGACTCTAAATTCTTATATATATGCCAAAATATAGAGGTAGGATACAATTTTAAGCATTCAGGTTTGAAAACCTGGAACCATTTTTTATATTTGTTTATAGTGATTAATTATAGTTCAGTAATTAAACCACAACTCATTTTTTATGTCACCAGTTTATGGACACATTAAAGCAGAGTCAGTACTATACTACACTACACCTGCTTGCATAGCTGTATTTTTAAAGTTAAGAGCTTTCTCCTCAAAGAATGTGAAAAGTACAATTAAACTGGAGGTATGTCAGCCCATGTTACTGAAAGGCAATTCATTATTGTGTTTTTGGGATTCATTAGAACAGTAATCATTATAGACTTTCATTGTGTTCTAGCAACTCAATTATAATTTCCCCAGCAACAAGATTTTTAAATACTTACCTCTAGGTGCCTTGCTGGGATAAATTCTCTGATATGGCTTGAATTCATCAGGAGGTGGGAATTCTTCCACAGAATGGAAAGTAAACTTAGACTCAAAGTCATCTGGAGAATTAAAAAAAAAAAAAGTCCATTACTAGGAAAATTAACTCTGGCCACTTAAAACTGAGTTATCACTGGAAGAAAACAGATGACTTAGTTAACTATTATAATGAAAGTACCTGAATGATTTCCCAATGATGTTTATGGTGGTTCATGCTAAGGATGTTAAGGACTAGTTGCTGCCCCCCTCCCTTGCTGCCTCTATCAGCTGGGGCCTCTTGTGCATTTCAAAGCCGAAGCACCCATATGGAGCCCAGAGTCAGTGGGCCTTCCTGCTGGCCCCAGGCTGCACACGGAGTTCCAACTTTGAAATGCACAAGAGCACCTATTAGAAGTGCCTATCAACTAGTCTAATAGTCAATGGAAATTCCATCAACTACTCGACTAGTAAATTAATCGATATTTAACAGCCGCAGTTTGTGCTATGGAAAAACTCCATTTTATGTGGGATTATCTTATTGACTGTGCCTTTTTTGTTCACAGCTGCACTATCTCACTACTAATCATATAGCATACTTGTGGCAATCACAATAATTTCTTACAATGATGTTAGGACGGTATTTGATGTATTCTCACCTGGCTTTAGAGTAATGAAGTAGCTAGAAACAAAGATAAGAACAAACAGCCAGCTCATCAAACTACAAAAAAGTATCCTTGGAACGCCTGTCCTATAGAAGTTAATGGGGATAAAACCACTTGGTTCTGTGAATATTAGTATACAAACCAATATAGACTTCATGCACACTGGACTTTCACAGTTATTGTAAGATTTGTGAGAGATGGGTTTTTAATAGCATGTATACTTATGAGACTTTTGTGTTGAAATCTTTCAAGTACAACAAAGAGGTTTAATTTAGAAAATATTACCAATGATTTGCATGTTTCCATTTCTGTGCTGTGGATAGGACTCATGTGCAGCTGGCCAGGATGAGACTTGGGTATATGGACACTTGCTTGTAAGCTCAGTTGTTGGTGATCTTGCTGGAGGCAGCGGAGGTGGAATTAGCTTCCCGGTGCTGCTTACTTAAAAAGAAGCAGACAAAGACATAAAGAAAAGACACAAAAATGGATGAATGAGTGCTTTGCCAAACAAGGAACTGATAGGACTTTAGATCTGATACCATGTTTAGTTCAAAGCCAAAGGGCACCATGGCAGTAGGTGACTTTATAGCTGCCACATTACAAGCATTATTGCTCTAGTGATTCCATCTATTCTATACTCATCACTCTCTCAACACCTGACCCATTATATTTAAAAGGAGTTTCCCATAGCTTTAAAAAATGTTGTCAATGAATTCCTCTCTGCACATAACGATCAATGTGCAAGATTCAGACTATGCCCTTCATCTTGTTTTTATTACGGGGAGCTAAGTATTTCTCAGTCCCACAAACCCAATTTCATATTTTTTCTAATCAGCACTCTGTCTACAAGCAGCTGGTCTGGTTTTACAGATGCAGTCTGCCCCTCTCTACCTGTATCCTCTCTAGGTCTACCTGTAGATCTCTGTCCCTGATCCCTGTTGCAATCATGCATTTAGATGGAGCAGAGAGGCAATTTCTATCAACCTCTTCCCTGCTTCTCTCCAAGAGTTGGCACTAAGATTTCTCCAGCCTGCTGGATTTTCTCTGTGACCCTGGACCCCCATTCCTTGTCTGGTCATCAGAACACAGCAAGTTGATTAGTTTTGCCTTTGTCTGCATAGCTCAGCTAGCTCCCTTCTCTTCAGTTGTTAATAACTCATTTCCCCTGCTTTTTTTACTGTTTCTTTCCCATAAGGACTGTGACTTCTCTCTGTGCTTTGCCCTTTTAGGGTGCGTCTACCCTACACCCGTAGCTTGAAATAAGCTGCACAAATTACATAGCTTTTTTCAAAATTTGGCACTGTTTACACAGCAATTATTTCAAAATAAATCACTATTCCAAAACATCCGTTACTCCTCGTGGAATATGGTTTACAGGGATGTTGGAATAGCGAGCCTGTTATATTTTGAAATAACAGGCATGCTCAAAAAATGCAGAATAGATATTTTGGGATACCTCTGGTATCCCAAAATAGCGCTGCAGTGTAGATGTAGCCACACAGTACTTACTTTCACTTCTGCCAGCACTTAGGGAATTCACACTGGCATAGATCCCACACATACTACTATCCTCTGTCAGGAGTGGGCAATAATTTTTTCCCGGGGACCACACAGGAAGGGGCGGGGCCAAGATACTTCCGTCTGAGACAATGATTGGTCCGCTCCCCCCCCCCCCCACGTTTCCCCTAGGTGCCCATGTCCCTGCTGTGGGAGGAGACTGCCCGTGCTCCCCTGCCCCTAGGCCAAATAGGGCCGGGGGGGGAGCATGCGAAGCCTCCTCTGCTCTCCCCCCACCCTGCAAGCAATGTGGGGCGCTTCAAAGCACCACATGCTCCTGGCAGGGCAGGAGGAGGCTTTGCGTGCTCCCCTGCCCCCAGAACCTAATTGGCCTAGGGGCAGGGGAGCAGCAGGGCCTTTGCAGGCCAGATCCACCTGCGTGGCAGGCCGAATCCGGCCCACGGACGCCCTTATGCCCACCCCTGGTTTAGATGAAGATTTTAACAACAAACAACAACAATTCCATAAAGGGCACCCACTGTAGGGTTCTGGTTCTCTGTTGTCACTTCTCTGGAGCAGAAACCATCTCTCACTTTGCTGACCAGGGATTTTAAGGCTGATCAGCTTCCTGCTTTACAGTGTGGTATAAAAAGACTAGTGCCTGTGATTTGCCTTCTCTTGGAGGACCATGACCAGCGTATTTTCCAGTTACAAGCAAGCACATTTATTTTTGAAGTAAAAGCATTAGAGAGAATATTAAAACAATAAAAACTTGCATGTTAAAAGACCTCAGCCTCAATTCCAAACTGGAGCTTTGGTAGGTTTTAGTTTTTCCAAGACTACAACTGGGGTTTTCCCTATGGTTACACGTTCATCCATATTAGATCTAGAACACAGTCTGGTCTGATCAGCCATTTCTTTTATACAGCTAAGGCCCTTTGTTCTTGGCCTTCTGTAGCAGGTGATCCGCAGACAATGACCCTCTCCTAAGGGCTCAGCTTCAAAAGGCTTGGTTTTTGTGTACTGGAGTTGGGGAATTTGAATTACTTTCTCCCTACGGATTCCCTTGGAAATCCCAAAGGATTGTCCCAAAGTTGCTTCCAACCTACTGCCCTGCTCCGCTCCCAGGAAGAGAAAGCGACTGATTAGTTCTCAGCAGTAAGGCATAAAAACCCTTAGTAGGAGTAACTGCTTCCACTGGGAGCCCAGTGATCTATACTCCCAAGTTCGGAGATCCTGTCAACACTCAGGGGCTAGACCCTGCTCCTCCTGGCATCTTGTTGTCTGCTGCCACGATAGCTTCCCGGCTAGGGCTGTATATTTCCTGTAGCCTTGTGTGGTTTGAAAACTCAGTTTCAAAACTTACCTGCACCTCTACCTTGTCTCTTCTTTTGCACTGCTGCAGCTGGCTGAGGGAAGGGAGGGGCGGGAGGGAGGGGCATAGACTGAATACCAGGTTTTTGGAGCAGCAAGTGTGGAGATTTGGGGGGTAATGGGGGTGGAACATCACTGCTGCTCACAGTACTGTTAAAGATCGGGGAGGGTAGCAGCAGCAAGGATCCCCTGGGTGAAGGAGGCAGTGGTGGTGGAGGTGGGGGAGGAGTTGGAGGTGGATAATCCCTCAAATCAGGCTGTGGGGGAGAAGTGCTAGAAAAGTCAGTTCTGATTGGCAAGCCACAAGGTGGTGCCAAGGGCAGTGGGGGTGGTGGCAGATGCAAAGCCATTGCTTGAATCTTGGCAGGCTTGTCACCCAGAGGAGGTGGTGGTGGTGGAGGAGGAACCAAATTCTGGGGTGACACTTTTACAGGTTTTTCCAGAGGATAGGGAAGAGGTGGAGGAGGTGGGAAAACAAGGGATGGTTTACTAGAAACTGGGGGAGGTGGGGGAGGGGCAGGCATGCTGGGCCGAGCTGGTCCTGGTCGTGGCCCACTGAATAGCTCCGTTGGGTGTGCTGCTCTTGGACAATCAGGTTGACTTGCAATGTTGCTGTTTGCTTTGGCACTGCCGTTCAGTGGGGCTGGAGACTTTGGAGGAGGCCCTCGTACTCCAGGCAGCTGCCCGGCCTTGCCAGCTGGAAAACAAACCACAAACCTCCAGGTAGATTAGTAAAGACCAACCTGTAAGCATGGTTTGAAATTGTTAGAGCAAAACAGTGCAGAAAAGGAGCTGGGCCTGTTCGCTCCATAAACTTTTACTAAAATACGGCAAGGGATTTGACACACTCTTCCACCATGTATGTGCCATAAACATATTTCTGCAATGCACAATCTCTAACATGATGGGGCTGAGAAGACAGAGTGTTCCAGGCAATTGGACTGGAACTCAGAAGACCTCTGCCACTGGCATGCTGGCTGACCTTGAGCAAGTCACTTCATTTCTTTCCCTCAGTTTCCCCATGTAACAGGACATGCTCTCTCTTCTATAGAGAATGAGCATCTGTGAGAGCCACCTGGTTGAAGACTTCTTTTCTGTAGCCCACAGAATTAGATTAAAGGTATCTTATTAAGTGGTAATGTAAGAAACCTGCAGGCCTATGCCCTGCAAGACATTAGTTTAAATAGCTAGCCTAAGGCTTTGAAGCCTCTGAGACTTAGCATAAGCATGTTCCCTAACAGTGATCCTAAGCTACTGGGGAACCAGAAATGGATTACTTAAGGTATTTTTGCTAAAAGCTTGTATAAAGTGATACCAGGTAACCATAGGAAATCAAACTCATACCAGCTTTGGCTGTTTTAGGACTGCAACACCTGAAAATGCATAACTGCAAACTTACATGGCAACAAATTGATGCAATTAATAGTAAGTTGAGATCATAATTTTACTAACCCATAGAATAAGGATACCTCAATGTTATTAGGATAAGGAAGCTAGTTATGGAGAAAGGAGGCCAGGTAGTTATATGATTATGCAGGACAGTCACCAGACCCTGTAATAGGCCAAACCACCGTGCACTGGGGATGCAAAACGCTGGTTAATCAATTAACTGGTTTACCTAACGTTTAACTGACTAAAGTGGGCTCTGGGCTGGGGACTGCTCCAGCCCAGCTGGAGTAGACCCGAGTCCACAGGGCTGAGGCTGGCTCTGCCAGCACCCAGCCAGCTGCTGCTGGCTCCCAGCCCCCACCGGAGCAGCCCCTGCCCGCAGGGTGCCTGGGCCAGCTATGGAAGGAGATGCTCCAACTGGGAGCAGCCACTGCTCGCAGCATGCCTCTTGCAGGGCTGGAGCAGCCCCCTGCCCATGGCAGACAGGGACCTGCATGCGCTCCCACCAGTTAATCCTTCACAACTCTACTAGGTATGCCTCGAGATCTTGAGCATTGAACTTCTGGTGTGCCTGAGGCACAGTGGGATCCTTGTGGATCACGGCCGGCCTTCCACCCCTAGGGCTCCATGAGAAGGGCGAGTGTGTGTGCAAAGGACATCGGCCTCACTTTACGCTGTAGCTCCCTTCTCACTTGGTTTGGAACACTGGTGTTACTAATTCTATGAAGAAAAGTATTCAGTGCTTTGCTCGTCCCTCAGTGTGAGTGTTGCCGTTGCACACCTCTGAGTTCCCAGACAGACACCGATCTTAACAACCTGACTTCTGTTCTGCCAGACTCTGGGACTAGAACCTTTTGAACCTCAGAAGTTTAACCAGTGACTAGTTGGAAACTATTAGCAGTCAATATAATCAATAACCACTTACCTATTTGGTGACCCTTTCCCATGTCGTAGAAAGCCCTTGGGACAAAGATATCCAGCCTGCTTACAGTAGATGGAGAGAAGGCTTTTGGTTCCCCTTTGTCTCTGTGGCTAGAGAACGACCACGGTGTTATCTGACCAGACTAAAAGAGGGATGGAAGGCAGGGCCCCTCTTATGGAGTTTGGCTTGAGGGCATTTAGATGCAATTTCAGCCATCTACGAGCAAAATCATTTCTTCCAAACCAGTCACATCTGTTAATGCTGTGGTCCGCTGCAGATTGGACCCCCCACACACACACTTTTTGAACCCCAGAGCCATTGTAAGGAGGAGACCTCATCTTCTCACTGCCTCTATGCCTTGAGATCTGCGGGGTCTGACTAGTAAAAGAAATTGTTGTGGAGTCCATAACTGCTGCAGACATGAAACAGACACACACTTCCTATAGCCAGGCTGGGTTGTAAGGCTTTGCTACAAAAGACGTGTGTTCATTTTCCTCTCAACTTTCTCCAGTTTATCAGCCACTTTAGTACTCCCTTAGGTGAGAGCCTACAAACATGGGGAAAAGCGTCCTTACCTGTCATGTCTCTTTGGCCAATTGGTTTCAGCATGGGAAAGCCACCTGCAAACAAGCCCCCCAATGATGGTTGAGCACTACTTTTGCTGGTTGCTGGACCACCTCCATCTCTGTTAGGTCCTCTGGATTCTGTTACAAGGAGACAAGGGGTCTATCAATATGTTTTGTTATCTACATTCAGGCTTTCAAGGAGCACCAACAGCCCCTGATTCTGCTGTTTTAACATATACATCAAGGAAAGTTACTGATGGTTCTATAGAAATAACGTTACTATTTATCCAACATCTTAGTGCACAGCACCCTCTGGTGCATCAGTAATGCTAGGACAGTTTAGGATTCAGCCATCATTTTGTGGTAAGCTTTTCTGAGAAGGGTGTAAATTTAATGTTGGCTGTGAAATGGCTACCGTAGTGCACTTATCTACTATATATTTGAGAGTGTTAGTTAAACGCTAAGCGCTAGGAACACCACATTTGATATCAGCTTCCTCTTATCATAACTTGAAGCAAAGTCAGGGTTTGGTTGTGTCAGGACGATGGGATATGCCTGGAATGTGACTGTTTCTCATAAAACAGAAAGTCAGGGCTGATAGCAGGGACAGTTATACTGTATAATGACAAGAGGGCAGCAAGGGGCCAGAGATGGGGACCAGGATAGTTAACCCCACTGGGGCAATGGGGCAAGAATGGAGAAAGGGACAGCTGTCTATTATATAATTGAGTGTGTGTGTGTGTGCGCGCACCTGTTTGTCTGTCCCCCAACCAGGGGACATGCATGATTCCTCAGGCCTTAAGTTGCTGCAGTGAGAGGGCTGGGGTTGTCCCTTTTCCCCAGGAAGCCTGCACACTGAACCCCTCATCCCTGAGCAATGATTTAAATGAAGAAAAACAACATTTGAGTTAAGGACCCAAACAACTCCTGATAACTCTTCTAGTGGTGCTATAAAATGCTAAATAACAAATCTAAAACCTATGACTTAGAGTAGATTCTAAGTCTGATATCCCAAACTCTCCCCACAGTAGTTGTACATACTAAATTAGGCCATAGAGCAGTTGTTCCCAACACCCTAACAGTGATCCTAAGCTACTGGGGAACCAGAAATGGATTACTTAAGGTATTTTTGCTAAAAGCTTGTATAAAGTGATACCAGGTAACCATAGGAAATCAAACTCATACCAGCTTTGGCTGTTTTAGGACTGCAACACCTGAAAATGCATAACTGCAAACTTACATGGCAACAAATTGATGCAATTAATAGTAAGTTGAGATCATAATTTTACTAACCCATAGAATAAGGATACCTCAATGTTATTAGGATAAGGAAGCTAGTTATGGAGAAAGGAGGCCAGGTAGTTATATGATTATGCAGGACAGTCACCAGACCCTGTAATAGGCCAAACCACCGTGCACTGGGGATGCAAAACGCTGGTTAATCAATTAACTGGTTTACCTAACGTTTAACTGACTAAAGTGGGCTCTGGGCTGGGGACTGCTCCAGCCCAGCTGGAGTAGACCCGAGTCCACAGGGCTGAGGCTGGCTCTGCCAGCACCCAGCCAGCTGCTGCTGGCTCCCAGCCCCCACCGGAGCAGCCCCTGCCCGCAGGGTGCCTGGGCCAGCTATGGAAGGAGATGCTCCAACTGGGAGCAGCCACTGCTCGCAGCATGCCTCTTGCAGGGCTGGAGCAGCCCCCTGCCCATGGCAGACAGGGACCTGCATGCGCTCCCACCAGTTAATCCTTCACAACTCTACTAGGTATGCCTCGAGATCTTGAGCATTGAACTTCTGGTGTGCCTGAGGCACAGTGGGATCCTTGTGGATCACGGCCGGCCTTCCACCCCTAGGGCTCCATGAGAAGGGCGAGTGTGTGTGCAAAGGACATCGGCCTCACTTTACGCTGTAGCTCCCTTCTCACTTGGTTTGGAACACTGGTGTTACTAATTCTATGAAGAAAAGTATTCAGTGCTTTGCTCGTCCCTCAGTGTGAGTGTTGCCGTTGCACACCTCTGAGTTCCCAGACAGACACCGATCTTAACAACCTGACTTCTGTTCTGCCAGACTCTGGGACTAGAACCTTTTGAACCTCAGAAGTTTAACCAGTGACTAGTTGGAAACTATTAGCAGTCAATATAATCAATAACCACTTACCTATTTGGTGACCCTTTCCCATGTCGTAGAAAGCCCTTGGGACAAAGATATCCAGCCTGCTTACAGTAGATGGAGAGAAGGCTTTTGGTTCCCCTTTGTCTCTGTGGCTAGAGAACGACCACGGTGTTATCTGACCAGACTAAAAGAGGGATGGAAGGCAGGGCCCCTCTTATGGAGTTTGGCTTGAGGGCATTTAGATGCAATTTCAGCCATCTACGAGCAAAATCATTTCTTCCAAACCAGTCACATCTGTTAATGCTGTGGTCCGCTGCAGATTGGACCCCCCACACACACACTTTTTGAACCCCAGAGCCATTGTAAGGAGGAGACCTCATCTTCTCACTGCCTCTATGCCTTGAGATCTGCGGGGTCTGACTAGTAAAAGAAATTGTTGTGGAGTCCATAACTGCTGCAGACATGAAACAGACACACACTTCCTATAGCCAGGCTGGGTTGTAAGGCTTTGCTACAAAAGACGTGTGTTCATTTTCCTCTCAACTTTCTCCAGTTTATCAGCCACTTTAGTACTCCCTTAGGTGAGAGCCTACAAACATGGGGAAAAGCGTCCTTACCTGTCATGTCTCTTTGGCCAATTGGTTTCAGCATGGGAAAGCCACCTGCAAACAAGCCCCCCAATGATGGTTGAGCACTACTTTTGCTGGTTGCTGGACCACCTCCATCTCTGTTAGGTCCTCTGGATTCTGTTACAAGGAGACAAGGGGTCTATCAATATGTTTTGTTATCTACATTCAGGCTTTCAAGGAGCACCAACAGCCCCTGATTCTGCTGTTTTAACATATACATCAAGGAAAGTTACTGATGGTTCTATAGAAATAACGTTACTATTTATCCAACATCTTAGTGCACAGCACCCTCTGGTGCATCAGTAATGCTAGGACAGTTTAGGATTCAGCCATCATTTTGTGGTAAGCTTTTCTGAGAAGGGTGTAAATTTAATGTTGGCTGTGAAATGGCTACCGTAGTGCACTTATCTACTATATATTTGAGAGTGTTAGTTAAACGCTAAGCGCTAGGAACACCACATTTGATATCAGCTTCCTCTTATCATAACTTGAAGCAAAGTCAGGGTTTGGTTGTGTCAGGACGATGGGATATGCCTGGAATGTGACTGTTTCTCATAAAACAGAAAGTCAGGGCTGATAGCAGGGACAGTTATACTGTATAATGACAAGAGGGCAGCAAGGGGCCAGAGATGGGGACCAGGATAGTTAACCCCACTGGGGCAATGGGGCAAGAATGGAGAAAGGGACAGCTGTCTATTATATAATTGAGTGTGTGTGTGTGTGTGCGCGCACCTGTTTGTCTGTCCCCCAACCAGGGGACATGCATGATTCCTCAGGCCTTAAGTTGCTGCAGTGAGAGGGCTGGGGTTGTCCCTTTTCCCCAGGAAGCCTGCACACTGAACCCCTCATCCCTGAGCAATGATTTAAATGAAGAAAAACAACATTTGAGTTAAGGACCCAAACAACTCCTGATAACTCTTCTAGTGGTGCTATAAAATGCTAAATAACAAATCTAAAACCTATGACTTAGAGTAGATTCTAAGTCTGATATCCCAAACTCTCCCCACAGTAGTTGTACATACTAAATTAGGCCATAGAGCAGTTGTTCCCAACATTTTCCAGATGAGGACCCATTTTGACAATTCAGGAAGACTTGGTGACCCAAGGAAATTCAAAAACGGGGGGAGGGAGGGGCAGAACCACCTGGGGAAGACACTTTTGAAATGTAATGGCAACTCACATTTGGGTCCCGACCCATGGATTGGGAAACCCTGCCTTAGAGAAACTCAAGGCCATGACTAATTTTGAAGACCCTTAATCTTACAAGTGGTCCAACTGGCTTCTACAGGGCTACTCAGCCCAAAAGTTTGACATGCCTGGGCCCCTTGCTCAGAGCTGAAAAGAGCTACGCACTTACTTTCAACCTGTGGTGCACTTCGGTCATTGATTTGGGTAACTTTCCTTAAGCGAGTCCCTTGCTGAATGTCTGCTAGCAATGCATTTCGAGCTTTTTGATCTTCCTTTCTGGGCTTTGGGGGCTCTGTACTAGCCTGTTGAAGATAATATTAAGCAGTGAAACAAATGCTGAGAAAGGAAGCACAAGAAATAACATTTTAATATATTAAAACCAGAATGAAGCAAGCATCCCAGGCAGTTATATTGAAATCTTCATTACCGTGTATTAAATTATATATTATTGAAATTAACACAACAGCTGTCACACACACACACGAAAGCTAAGAAGTTACAAATTAGAGGGAGCTCTACCAGCACTATTTAATTTCACCTGAACAAAACAAAGGACACACTTTCATTTCAGTCTGACTTCCAGGCAAGTGAACTACCAATGTGCCTAGAATAACCAGGGCCTGCCTCCCTCCATCATTGTGTAATTCCAACTTGGAGGGCACATATATCTTTTTATTTTACTTACAATGATTTATAATATGAAGATTTCAAAAGCCATTTGAGAACACAATTCATTTTTTTCTGTCTTTGTCCTTCCTTGTTAAAAAAGAACATTTCATCATTAGCATGGCTACTGCAGTACTGGTATGATCACACCATAGCACGTTGGGTTAAATCTTGATTATATCATAATTCAGATATTTAAACAGGGTTTATATGCTTCTGTATTAGGGGTGTGCACAGATTTAAACAGTTTAAATAGATTGCTTTCAAATCAATTTAGCTGAATAAACAATATCCTACAGTTTATTTAAGGCCTATTAATGTAAAGTTGTCTTGGTATGACCACAATAATATAAAATCTTGGGTCCCCCCTCCTAAATATTTTTTACAAATATGGCACTCTCCAAAATAAAATAAAAAAGCAGAAATCTGTTCTGATTTCAGATGTCTAGTCATGTGGCTTTTCTTTCAACAGGTAAAAAGGACATAGTAGAGAAGTCCAAAGCCAATGGATGGGTGACACTGGATTGTCCTAGAACATAAGAACTCTTTATAATCAAGTCCAGAGCAAGATATTATAGCCAAGTTATCCCTCCTGAACACAGTTAATAACAAACACAGAAGACCCATTTCTTTAGTAAATTATTGCCCCTATTTCACTTTATATTTACTATGTCTTGAAGGGTGTCTTAAACATTCCTATTTGAGAACTGTGAGTGAAAAACAAGATTGAAAATATTTAAAAGCCACTATATGACTAGAAATAATCAGATACATTTAAAATATAATTTAAACTTGCATTTGATTGCCTGTTTTTATTCAGTTTAAAAAAAAATCTGGATTTGTAAATGTCCATTAGGTGGCACTCTTTGGTGACAGTAACGAGTATTACATTCTTGCTATCTGATGTAAAAACTCAGTAATAACTTTCTGAGACTGACCAGATATTCTTCAATAGGACATTGAAAAAAGGTAGTCATTCTTGGATAATTCCTTAATTTAAATAACAGTCGTGCTTTCCCATATGCTTTAAACAAAGTTTAAACTACAAGCACTATATAATTCTGGTTATTAAAGCTCTGAAAGGCTGACTAATATAAGCAATGTCATAGGGTTCATACCAGCTGGAATTTATTTCCAGTCACTTTTTTCCTTAAAAATTCACAATACTTACTCTGACAAATGGACGAACCATAACCGGAGCAAATATAGCTTGTTTTTAACAAAAGCTTTTCACCACTTTCTTCAAACTTTCTTCTCCTTACTCCCAGAAGTAAATTTAGCCATAGCCTGTTAATTAGGATCTAAAGCTACCCGATCAAGAGTGTTAGGTTTAAAATTAGATCCAACAGCTGTGTATTTGTTTCCGGGTTCATGTCTTCACATATTATACCAGCTGTCTACTCTGCCTGCTCCATTCTTGTGAGCAGGTAGGCTACTGGAAGACTATGTATTTCAGTACGCAATCTGTAGTAGATTAAATTCTGTCACAGTCCAACACAGTGTCCCTCTAATCTAACAAATCCTAAATTCCCTTTATATATTTTTGGGGGAGGGTGTGTGCATATGAGACATTGCACAAAGAGGGAATGCTTCATTCTGCAAATCCAAACTGTATTATTGTAAGATAGAACTGTAGGAATCTTGACATCAAATACTTCCCCCTCATACTCCTCCGTATTGTACTTTAATATATAATCTTCATGGCTGGAGCACTCTCATGTGCCTGGTGATTGACTGTGCTGTTGAGTAGCTTCATATGGATTCTCTTTTGCTATTACAAGATCAAAGTAGGCTGGGAGTAGCAATGTAGCTTAGCTGCATGCCTGTCAGAATTCTCCTATCGATTTCTTGTTTGCAGCACTGCCCACACCTATGTAGTCTGTGACACTTTAATAGTGAAGTGAGTGCTGGTACTCTTTAGCACAAATATCCCAGTCAGGGAAGAAATACGAATTTACAAGGAAACCTGCTCCAATTGATTAGCTGCAGACAGACCTTTACAAGCACCATCACTTGGCTATGATACAGATATCTATTCAGAAAGCAGAATTAGCTAGGGATACACTGTTGTGTTATGCTGGCATTATACAGAATACATAAGAAATTGTGTAAACTAGTGCAGCCGGAAGACAGAAATGAGCTCTTCATTAGGGTTAGACCTTCAATCTTAAAAATATACACAGAAGTGTCTTGAGCAGGAAGACAAATGCATTTTCTTTGGCAGTCACAGAGGGAGTATAGCTAAAACACAAAAGGTATCACTCTTACAAAGTGCTTTTTTACACTAAAGGAGCAACTATATTTACAGAATAGGAAATGTCTCAGTCCTTCACTGAAAATCAAAAGTGAATCAGACAAGAATGTGGAGATCATTTGTTTTATTAAATGCCAGAGATACCTAAGGTAACATAAAATGAAATTAAATTGGTTGGTTCTCATTTCCTAGGTAACCACATTGCTCTATTATTTCACACACAAAAGAATGTCATGTTAAATAATTTCTTACAGAAACAGAATGAGTCACACAACGAGTAGCCTCTATGTAAAGAAATGCTATATTTCTTACCTCACTCAGCTTCACCATATTTTCCCTTTACATGTCCTACAATTACACCAGCTAAATTTAAGCTGATAAGTGGAAGCCATGTTATTTCTGCATTAACAGGCACTATTCATGCTGTTATTTTAAATCCATTTATTATAGAGGCTCTCTTATCTATCATAGCATCATAGGGCTGGAAAAGACCTTATGAGGTCATCAAGTCCAGCCCCCTTCCCAAAGCAGGACCAACCCCAATTAAATCATTCCAGCCATGGCTCTGTAAAGCCAAGACTTAAAAAACTTCTAGGGATGGAGATTCCACCACCTCCCTAGGTAACCCATTCCAGTGCTTCACCACTCTCCTAGTGAAATAGTTTTTCCTAATATCCAACCTAGACCTCCCCCACTGTAACTTGAGACCATTGCTCCTTGTTCTGCCATCCATCACTACTGAGAACAGCTTCTCTCCATCCTCTTTGGAACCTCTTTTCAGGAAGTTGAAGGCTGCTATCAAATCCCTCTCCTTGCAGGTCAAGTGCTCCAGCCCCCTATCATTTTAGTTGCCCTCTGCCGGACCCTCTCCAAGGCATCCACATCCTTTCTGTAGTGAGTGGGGGGCCCAGAATTAGACACAATATTCCAGATGGGGCCTCACCAGAACCAAATAAAGGGGAATAATCACTTCTCTAGATCTGCTGGCAATGCTCCTCCTAATGCACCCTAATATGCCATTAGCCTTCTTGGCTACAAGGGCACACTGTTGACTCACAACCAGCTTCTCATCCACTGTAATCCCCAGATCCTTTTCTGCTGAACTGCTACCTAGCCAGTTGTTCCCCAGTGTGTAACAAAGCTTTGGATTCTTCCTTCCGAAGGGCAAAACTCTGCACTTGTCCTTGTTGAACCTCATCAGATTTTTTTCTAATGTACCAAGCACCCCAACATTCATATCCCAAAAATTCTTTATTGCTGGATATTACATAAGATTTAGAACATCAGATCAGACCATTGGTTCACATCCATAATCTATGACAGAAGCCAATACTGGACATTTGAGATTATCCTTTTTATGTAGATATAATACACACTTAGGCTTTAGTAAGGCTGTACCACTTTCTCTCTTGAATTATTAATACCATACAATACCAATAAAGCACACATTAAATGGATTAAGAACTGACAACTCAAAAAGTTGTTGTCAATGAGGAATCATCATCAAACGGGGGAGTTCATAGCAGGGTTCCATAGGGATTTGTATTATGCCTTATGCTATTCAACATTTTCATCGATGACCTGAAAGTAAAGATCTGAAAATATAAATATCACTACTGATACAATTTGCAGATGACACAAAGATTAGTGGAATGGTAAATTGGAAAGAGGACTGGGCAGTCATACAGAATGATCTGGGCCTCTTCAAACAAAGTATGTTTTAATACAGCCCAATGTTACAAGTGTGATGGCGCACTGGGGTCCCCCGCCTCCTGCACCCCCGAAATGGCACGAACAGACTCCACCAGCCAGTAGAATAGAGGTGGTTTATTGCTTCTCCAGGATACAGCACAGCACAGATGTCATCAGGTTACAGGGCAGGCCTAGGATGCCTCAGCCCCCCTTGATATGGGGTGGGGGGGGGGTCCAGCTTCTAAACCCCCCAGCCTGTTGCTGAGGCTGCTTCCTCCATGCTCCCAGACAGAAACTAACTAACCCTCTTCCAGCCCTGCCCCCCAGCCAGGGGCAGCATCCACCTTCCTTTGTTCCTCTCCATGGGGGGTAGCTGGTCGAACAGGTTGAGAGATCTCTTTGCATAATGCCCCATCCCTATCCTTCTGGGCTGTGGTACCGGCGGCAGCCAGTGGGGTTACCACAGACCCATAGAAAGCAGCAAGTTCCCCCCCACTATGTCACAACAAGATAACCTGGAACAAGAAATCCAGGTCATCCCTGCAGAACGGGCGACTTGTATCCTGGAAAGCAATGACTCAGAAAAGGTTTTAGGGGTCACAGCAGACAAACAGTTCAACATGAAAGCTCTTTTTTTGTCACAGCATCGCACTGGGCAAATGCAACCTTCGAATGTATAAACAGGGGAGTTGCAAGTCAGAGCCAAAAAATTATTGGCGAGAACGATATTTCCATGCAGTTCAGTTGTGTATAAATTAAAGGATATTGAAAAAACAGAGGGGAGGGGGAAAAACCACCCCAAAAACAAAAAAGATTTGAGGGCTGGAGAAAAACCGCTTATAGTTGGGAGACTTAGAGTTCAATCTGTTTAAGCTTATAAAAAGTAGACTGTGATATGACTTGATTACTGCAGATCATCACGGAGAGAAAATACCAGTCACTGCAGGGCTTTTTAATAAAGAAAGGCATAACAATACAAAACACCAGTTATTGGACTCAGTACAGGGTAAGTAGGTAAAATTTAATGGCCTGTGATATACACAAAGTCAGACTAGATCTAAGATCCCTTCTGGGCTTAAACTAAATTAAGAAGAATGATGTTATCTAGCCAATATGTAATGTTGCACAATGGGGAGAGAGCTGGGTGATTAAAGTACTAGATTGAGATTCCCAGCACTACTAAGCTTCCCATGTAACTTTGGAAAATCACTTTACTTAGCTCTAACAAAATACAGGACTTGCTTAGCTCTGTATTTCCACAACCAAAAGGTCGGATCACTACGAGCCACAGCTCTCCCGCTGTGTCTAGACTGGCAAGTTTTTCCACAAAAGCAGCTGCTTTTGCGGAAAAACTTGCCAGCTGTCTACACTGGCCGCTTGAATTTCCGCAAGAACACTGACTTCCTACTGTCTCAAATCAGTGCTTCTTGCGGAAATACTATGCTGCTCCCATTCGGGCAAAAGTCCTTTTGCGCAAAAGGGCCAGTGTAGACAGCTCAGATTTGTTTTGCGCAAAAAAGCCCCGATCGCAAAAATGGCGATCGGGGCTTTTTTGCGGAAAAGCGCGTCTAGATTGGCACGGACACTTTTCGCAAAAAGTGCTTTTGCGGAAAAGCGTCCATGCCAATCTAGACGCTCTTTTCCGCAAATGTTTTTAACAGAAAACTTTTCCATTAAAAACATTTGTGGAAAATCATGCCAGTCTAGACATAGCCTCCATGTTTGAGTTCCTCTATGTCTCCTGCATGCATCAACATTCAGTCTTTCTACTCTTCAGCCAAGAGAGTCCTTTTTCTCACATCACTTAAGGATTGACTAGTCTATAATCCCATTGCTCAGACACTGACGTTGCTGCAGGAACTGATACACGGTCTTTATATCAGGTACTTCTCCCACCTCTGTATTATGGAAAAACTATCACCATATGGTCTAACTCTTTTGAGTGTAGTAGAAGATGCCGCTGAATTCTGAAACTTGGTTCTATTGTAAACAGAAGATGGAATTTCAGAATTTCCATGTCTTTTCTTTCATGTGTCAAAGCCAGTTGCATTACAGACTGATTTTCACTAATATCAGAATGCATTCCTGATGTACCCTCTTACCAATATTATTAACAGACTGATGAAAAAAGCTGAGGCCAGAGTATGAAATGTGAAATTTAAAAATTCATCTTTAGAGGATCTTGAGTATGTGGATAATACTGCTCTTACTTGGAGATATAAGTGACTGGCTAATGCTGGAAGAAATCTAAAAAGCTGTGGAACTGATGGAGCTTAAGATCAGTGGTGATAAAATTAAAGCATTGTAATTCTCCTTATACAATAGAAACCAAATGGGTGAATAATTTGATCTATTTGGCTTGTTTAGTTTAGAAAAGAGAAGATTGAGGGGGGACATGATAGCCGTTTTCAGGTATCTAAAAGGTGTCATAAGGAGGAGGGAGAAAACTTGTTCATCTTGGCCTCTGAGGATAGGACAAGAAGCAATGGGCTTAAACTGCAGCAAGGGAGGTTTAGGTTGGACATTAGGAAAAAGTTCCTAACTGTCAGGGTGGTCAAACACTGGGATAAATTGCCCAGGAAGGTTGTGGAATCCCCATCTCTGGAGATATTTAAGAGTAGGTTAGATAAATGTCTA